CTGCCCTCTCATGGTCTACCTGTATCTTGTCCTCTGGTGGTCCACCACTATCTGCCATCTTGTGGTCCACCACTATCTGCCCTCTCATGGTCTACCTGTATCTGTCCTCTGGTGGTCCACCACTATCTGCCATCTTGTGGTCCACCACTATCTGCCCTCTCATGGTCTACCTGTATCTGTCCTCTGGTGGTCCACCACTATCTGCCATCTTGTGGTCCACCACTATCTGCCCTCTCATGGTCTACCTGTATCTGTCCTCTGGTGGTCCACCACTCTCTGCCATCTTGTGGTCCACCACTATCTGCCCTCTCATGGTCTACCTGTATCTGTCCTCTGGTGGTCCACCACTATCTGCCATCTTGTGGTCCACCACTATCTGCCCTCTCATGGTCTACCTGTATCTGTCCTCTGGTGGTCCACCACTCTCTGCCATCTTGTGGTCCACCACTATCTGCCCTCTCATGGTCTACCATTACCTGCCCTCTGGTGGTTCACCACTATGCCATCCAGTGGTCCACAGCCATCTTCTCTCTCATGGGCCACTGTTATCTGCCCCTGTGTGATCTACATGTACCATTTGTTGCTATCTTCTATTGACTGTATATGTCTTTTTTTCAGATCCGCGTTGTGAATGCATTCCAAGCGGGGCTTGAAAGAATGTCAGCAGACAAGAAAAGTCTTAATTCTGTACATGAATTTATGTCTCACATCACATCGGACTCATACAATCTGCCTAACAACCAAGATGACGTGGACTCCAACCTTCATAGTATTGAAACAACCGTTTAATATGGTTGCTTGGTGGACGTGGACTTTGATGGACTCCATTTTAGAGTATTGCATGCTGATCTGTTTGGGATTCCCTCAGATGCAACTTCAATATTTTTTTATTTGTTTTGTCTTCTTTTTTTTTCAGCTTTGCTTTTATGCTTTGAGATATGTTTTAACTACTTTATGCTTTTATGTTTTTTTTCTAAGAAATAATTTTCTTTATCATAGATTCAGCATATTTTTTTTCCCCCCTTGTTTTGTTGATTTTTTGCACTATTTGTTTGTTGTTTCTCCGTTTGGGGCATGTTTGGGGGTAATTCCAAACCCTCTCACTATCACCACACCCACAGACCCATAACCCATAACCACTTACCCAGCCGCAGATCCACATAACCAACCCACCCTACTTACAGCATCCAATCACTAACCATCCTCTCCCCTCTCTATTCCTGGAATGGTCTACATCACTGTCCAGTTTGTGATTCAGCCTCTATATGGGACTGTTGTTTTAATAGATGAAGGTGTTGGTAGTTTACCTGTCGTCATTGTTGTTCCTAAAATTCCTATAGCAAGGTAGCTTGTGTTAGCCTAGTTTTTTGTTTCTCCGAACAAACTAGCGAGTCCGACCCCCCTCCCACAACTCCCTCTGTTCAGACGTACTGAACATCTTGTAAATACGTGTTTAAATTAGTCGTATGACTAATGTCTTACTCACAACTTGAGACTGAATTTTATTTAACATCTTATAATAATTGAATATCAGAATGAACACCTAATTTTGATTGTTATTGGGCCCTTCGTTTTTACCATCCTATCATGAATATCAATTTTCTTTTTATTGTCACTTGTAACTTTTGTGTGGCAGGGTATTTCTGACCTTGTGTATATATATATGTTTATCGGTTTTCACTATTTACAGGTGAATGGAAAGATTTCTTCGCTCACTTGAGATATGCAAACAGCACGTTTTTTTCAAAGTAAAAAAAGTTTTGGGATTTAAAATGACATATAAATATCACCGTTATTTTGTCTTTGTTGCTCATGATTAGTTAGAAGTCAAAATAGAATGCTCCTGCTGTTAAATTATGTTGCTTTCAAATTAGCTACAATGTAACCTCCAATCAGATACAAATATTTGCAAACTTTTCAGGGATTTTGCATCTCATTTACATCTGATTAACATTATTATTGCATTTCCAATCAAATTTCTGTTATTCAATGCTTATTTGCATTTGTTCATTTCCGTGTTCAGTGTAGCTCATCCTATCTCCAGTTCACACACTCACACGCTCACACGCACGCACACACACATACACACACACACACACACACACACACACACACACACACACTCACTCACATGTACTCAGAGTGTTTCATCTCTATTCTGACCAAGAGCTCTGTAAATATTTTTTTCTGAATTTTGCTTAATATTTGTGTAATTTTTTCCATTTTGCACTTATAATGGAGAACACACAGCAATAAGTTGTGGGAGTTTTCTTATATGAAATGGTAGACTTTTTAGTATCTTTCCACCATTCATAATTATATTTCAGTGAATGTTTTGTGAAATGTGCAATCAATATTATTGAGTTGACTATAAGTTAACTCCCTTGCACATTGTTAACCATTGTGTCAGACACGATTCTATTATTTATTTTATTTTCTCAGGATTGCTTAAAAATGAAGAGTTGACATATCACTATGGTGACTGTGTACATTTTAAAATGTGTCAATATTGTATACGTGCCTGGTCTTTCACGTTCTTCTCGACAGTCAGGTTACATCTCCAAAGCCATCTGTATTTTTGAACTGATTGGGTTATCACCGCAGTTCAGGAATACAGATATCTTGGCGGTGCAACTTGATTGTACGAGCTCAAATGGTTTTGTTTTTTTAGGCATTTCAGATAGATACTACACAGTTAACGAAGCAAACATTGTTTAAAATGAACTTTTATTATTTGCTATAGATTTCCTCTTGCCGATGCAAGGTGGTTTTTCTTAATTTTGTAAAATTAAAAGTAGATTTTTTTCACATCGCCTCTTCTTATAACAGTTTACAAACGCTGCTTGACAATTTTTTAAGTGTATCTACAACATAAAATAGCCAAGTGTTTTTTTGCCCAATCAAATCAGTTTTGATAAAGTTGGGAAGTTAATTGGTTGTGTAAAATTAAGACTAATCGGTGTTTTACAGTATGTTTCCTATAAACAAAAAAAATCCAACTTATTCTCTAGATGTTTTGAGAGTATGTACTGTGTATGCGTACTGAAGTAATTTGATTAGATGGTTTTCCAGCAAATTGACAACTGATTTCCCTTTCATCTACTTGACTTTAAATGGCTTTTGAATTAAGTAGGACGTAGTTAAGACTTTAAAAAAATGAAGAAAAGAAACGCGCTCTTAATTTTTTGCATCTTTCACTTTTTTACTATGAGCAATACAGTTGAAATAACTCTAATGTGCCATATCTCATTCTTTGTGTGGCAATACATAAGAATCTTTTTTTTATTAATCTGTTTATTGCAGTATGTTTCTTTATCGATAATGTTTTAATTTTAGGGGAATATTATAAATATGAACATTTGAGTTACAATTTCAAACAGCATTCAGCTTACTTGTTTTTTAGACTCCAAACTTTAGGTGTTCTAGTGCACAGTGCAGTCAAGTTGTAATGTAAGCTTATATTTTATACCATAAAACCCATCCTATTATACATAACTCACATTCTTGTAAATATTCTTGTACAATTTTTTCGATGTCATTCAATTCCGTAGTTAGAAATGTTAAAAAAAAAAAATTCCACATTTTTTCACTTTTTGTGTGTGATTTTGTGCAGTTGATAATCCAATAAAAAAGGCGAAGTTGAGATTGTAGTTTCTGATTGTTGTAGTGACCTTAACCATGCATTACAAGTACGTAGATTAGCATTTAATTCCCCTTTTACAAATCAAATTGAATGGAAAGTTTCAAAATTTCACCAAGTTGTTTTATTTAATCCATTTTGCCAATTTTTTTTTGGCTTGTATCATAGCTTGTTTTATCACATGGAAAGTCTGTGCCATTGTTTTTGGGTGCTACTGTACGTTTTACCCCAAACTCCAAGTCCTGGCATCATTATTCTTTAATACCATTTTTAGATATGGGCCTGCCCGTACCTAAATGTAATTCAGATTCTCATAAACATTATGTTGATTGGGATTTTACAAATCAGAAACTTGGATCCATGTTTTCATTCCAAACATGAACTTTTGATTCTTTTTATTTTTAAATGCCAAGATGCAAATGGTATGTCAGCTTTCCATGGTTTTTATGAATTAAATTGAATTTTAACACTCATCTGTTATTGCTTCTCTTTTATTTTTAACACTGCAACATTGCTTTTCATTTGTATCCTAACGCACTCCCAACACCCTCAGCTTTGAGTACTTCATAATTTGGTTTGTGACACAGAGTATGTTTAACATTGTGATTTACCTTGTTGAATATACTCTGCTGTTGCGAGTATTTTATCGCTGATACAATATTTAAAATGTATGAATATGAATTCATAATCCCTCAAATTGGACAAAAATAACTGTATTTCTGTATTTGCAAGTGCTAGTGACAACACAGAAGCCATATTCATGTTTGGGACTACAGGACAGGGCTGTGTTGCCATCTCTCTGTCAAATGGCAATTTGTAATGCGCTATCCTGGCGTCAACCAGGCCTGGTCGAACACCAGGTTCCCCCAAAGTCGCATTCGTTAGTGAATGAATCTCGGCCAGTGGAATTGGCCTTCCCATTGAGTCTGTGGCACACTCACCCTGGGTAGGGGTCGACCCTTTGATGTTCAGCCTAAGGTAGGATTTGAACTTGGGTGAGTCTGAGTCTGATGCAACATCCACTATGCTTCCAGTGACCAGTGTGGACAAAAATAACTAGAAAAAGTATGCTGTTAAACATTGCCAAAAACTTTTAAAAATTCTCAATTGTTTCTCTTTTGAAAGGACAATTTGTAATAAAGGCGCTGTCACTGTTCATTATTTTATATTTACTAATTTATAAATCTTTCAAAGTTGGCATGAAAATAGTATGATTGTAATTTTTTGTCCTGATTAAGGTCAGTTTCTCAAGTTACAAAATTTCAGACTTTTCAAGGTTTTTTTTCTTGCAAAAAGAATATGTGCTTGCATTAACCACGTTGAACCATGTTTATATTAAACTGACCTTTGACACAGGCATGAATTGCTGCTGTGTATGAATAGTTTAACTACACATTGGCAGTATTTTGTTGTGCCTTCCTCCTGTGAGCATATCTCTTCTTTGTAAAGGTAGGTAAAAAGAATCTTGAACTATGTAGATGTGCAGACTGCACTATTGGAATCACCCATAATGCTTTGCTCTACTTGATCACTGTTGATTGCTATTACGGTACACCAATTTGTTTCCAAAGCTGAGTTTGAACCATACAAAAGGTCAATGTTATATATAGTAGGTGATGTCATCTGATAGTCAAATATGACATGTATAGTAGGTGATGCCATCTGATAGTCAAATATGGCATGTATAGTAGGTGATGTCATCTGATAGTCAAATATGACATGTATAGTAGGTGATGCAATCTGATAGTCAAATATGACATCTATAGTAGGTGATGCAATCTGATAGTCAAATATGACATGTATAGTAGGTGATGCAATCTGATAGTCAAATATGACATGTATAGTAGGTGATGCCATCTGATGGTCAAATATGACATGTATAGTAGGTGATGCCATATGATAGTCAAATATGGCATGTATAGTAGTTGGTGCCATCTGATAGTCAAATATGACATGTATAGTAGTTGGTGTCATATGATAGTCAAATATGACATGTATAGTAGTTGGTGTCATATGATAGTCAAATATGGCATGTATAGTAGTTGGTGCCATCTGATAGTCAAATATGACATGTATAGTAGTTGATGCCATCTGATATTCAAATATGGCATGTATAGTAGGTGATGCCATCTGATGGTCAAATATGACATGTATAGTAGGTGATGCCATATGATAGTCAAATATGGCATGTATAGTAGTTGGTGCCATCTGATAGTCAAATATGACATGTATAGTAGTTGGTGTCATATGATAGTCAAATATGGCATGTATAGTAGTTGGTGCCATCTGATAGTCAAATATGACATGTATAGTAGTTGATGCCATCTGATATTCAAATACGGCATGTATAGTAGGTGATGCAATCTGATAGTCAAATATGGCATGTATAGTAGTTGGTGCCATCTGATAGTCAAATATGACATGTATAGTAGTTGGTGTCATATGATAGTCAAATATGGCATGTATAGTAGTTGGCGTCATATGATAGTCAAATATGGCATGTATAGTAGGTGATGCCATCCGATGGTCAAATATGGCATGTATAGTAGGTGATGCCATCCGATGGTCAAATATGGCATGTATAGTAGGTGATGCCATCTGATATTCAAATATGGCATGTATAGTAGTTGATGCCATCTGATATTCAAATATGGCATGTATAGTAGTTGATGCCATCTGATATTCAAATATGGCATGTATAGTAGGTGATGCCATATGATAGTCAAATATGACATGTATAGTAGTTGGTGTCATATGATAGTCAAATATGGCATGTATAGTAGGTGATGCCATCCGATGGTCAAATATGGCATGTATAGTAGTTGGTGTCATATGATAGTCAAATATGGCATGTATAGTAGGTGATGCCATCTGATAGTCAAATATGGCATGTATAGTAGTTGGTGTCATATGATAGTCAAATATGGCATGTATAGTAGGTGATGCCATATGATAGTCAAATATAGCATTATAGTAGTTGGTGTCATATGATGGTCAAATATAGCATGTATAGTAGGTGATGTCATCTGATAGTCAAATATGGCAT